CCTCCTTTGTGTTGGATTTAGCACAGTATCTATGTGATAGTAAGGTTTTCATCAGTCATCTCAGTACCTGAAGATAAAAGATAATAGGAAGGCGCAGGAATCAAGGAAACAAAATGATTTAAAAGGAATCACACACAGTTGTGCATGATCAACAAAGAAAAGTACACATAGACTTGTCATGATGAGGATTAGATAAGAGGAAAGACATTGGCATGGCCACATGCCTGTCTAAGAAATGTAGTTTGCATGAGGTGGTGATGGAGAACCTCTTACATTCCCTATCAGGAAAACAGATGCTCTTTGACACGGATTTGGAAATTCCAGGAAGAGAGGGGAAATGAGAGAGGTTGGAGCTTTTATTGCTCTTAGACATTTGGAGAAAGTGCAGTGCTGAGTTGAAACAGAAACCTCTGACATGGAGCTGATCAACTGATATACTCAGAAATGGATGCTGACCGGCTGGTGCTGGTAGATCATGGGTGCAAAGGGCTACATAGTGAAGCCAGTTCTCGAGTGCTGAGTGGAGAGACCACTACCTGTGGCAGGGACAGAGATAGGAGGAGCTTCTCATGGAAGGGGTGTTGTCCCTTCTCCCCCATCCAACTCTTAAGACTAGCTTTATCTATCACCCTCACTATGTCTCATTTGAAAGACTCACAGAAAACTAACTGGCAAAGAAGAAATAGTTTGAGTCTTACAAGCATTTGAAAGCATATGGTAGATTACTTGAAGCTTAATACTATATTGTTTCAGAGAAAATTTTTGAAAATTGAGAGCATAATTTGTCTACTAGTTTTATAGGGTAAGTTAGAATAAGTCAGCTCCAGATTCAAGTTCTATAAATGTGGCATCCATAATTGCAAACACCCCAAAGTTCAAAATGGTATGTTTACCCTGCCTTTAGACACCCCATCCCAGTAGTATACAGATGAGATTATAGGAATGTTGCTCCCCAGCCCTGCTGGGGGTGTTGTATAATCTCTGTTATATTGTCTTTCTGCAAGTCTGAAAAAAAATGAATTCTTAAGAGGCTCCTCAGATACCTCAGGTTTTAGGTATTAACAAGAGTTTGTTATGTTTTGGATTGTTATGTTTTAAAAGTCAAGGTGTGCCAGGCATGGTGGTGCATGCCTGTAATACTAGAGACTCCAAGGCTGAGGAGTATCACAAGTTCAAGGCCATCCTCAATAGCTTAGTAAGGCTCTAAGCAAATAAGTGAAACTGTCTCCAAAAATAAATAAGTAAAGGTGTTATCATGATGCTTTCCCATGCACTTCATCAAATCTGTGACCTAGCAACTTCATTACTAGGTATTTATCCTTTGTAAATGAATAGATTACTCCCTTCCCCCAAAATCTTGTACAAAAATTACCATACTGGCTTCAATTCACAGTATACAAAAACTGGAAATACACAGATGTCTAGAGCAGAAGACAGGATAAACAGAGTGCTGCCTAGCCCTGGAAACAAATGAACTGCTGGTGCTGCAGCAGTAGGGTGAGTGTCTTTCGACACTGTGTGGGAAAGAAATGGAACAGAAAATCGCATGTAATTCCATTCTCTGAAATTCTAGAATAGGCAAACTGAATTGTGGTGTGAGAGAAGCAGATGGGTGATAGGTACTTAAGGCACAAAGGATTTGATTGGTAGAAATGTCCCATCTCTTGATGTACATTCATCAAAAATGATCCAGTGTTATACTTAAGACCTCAGGATTTCACTGCACGTATAAGTTATATCTAAAGTTTTAAGTGATTTCAAAATATGGGACAAAGTTATGCGAGTGCAGGTAATCACTTGAATTCAGCATTGAAAAATATGATTTTATGACCTTATCTTAGTTGTGTAAGAGTGGTTTCATTTGTTACAAATGAAAAAGTCAGTGTTGCATTTTTAGATATGCTGATCCCTGACAGGGTTCTATAAAATCCATTGCAGAATGTCCAGAGGTAAGATGTGTAGCCTCAGGATGTCTCATCTGATCAGTTGTTTTCTTGGAGAGAAGTCTAACATCTGGCTGATAGAAGCTCTGGAGCTTCTGCCTATAGTCAAGTAGCAAGTTTTCTTATCTGAACTTGAACTTGAAAGAGGTAGCACATACATCCAGTTGTGTTCAGGTAGTTACAGATGCCTACTTTCTGTCAAAAGCAAGACAGAAAAGTTGAAATCATCAATTCTTTGTGAACTTAATTCTATAATGAACTTGATTATCTCCTGAGGCACACGAGAGTCTCATGCTCTGTGAATACCAGTGGTGGTGGTGGTGGTGGTAGCCTGAGTGGTTTGGGTGTGGTAAAGAGCAAGAGTGAAGCCCATTCTGGAGTGACAGCATCTGGGTTCAAATTCCAGCTCTGCCAGCTAAACCCATTGCTTTTCTGGAAGGCATTAGTGTAGCCTGCCACCGTAGCCCTGGCCCAGCATAACATAAATCGCTGCCAGCCAGGGACAACATTATGGCAGATGACACCGACACCTCTTAGTGAAGGCTTGGCTACTCTGATTTTTATTCTCCTGTTGAAGTGATCTCTGTTCTATGTGAGTGTCCTGCACACTGCAGAAGGCAGGCACACATGCATCCGCTGGCGGTGTACGCGTGTGCATTTCTTCCATCAGCATTCTCTTTGGCTTTCTGCTGTGTTTGACGCTGAATTACCACCTCATGAGTAGTTATTTTTGTCATTTCGAAAGAAGCAGTTCCATTTAAACATGTTTTCAATTACCTGTTCTTTCCAAAGAAGACTCTTTTGAATCTTTCTTTCTGTTTTTGATGGAGGTAAATTTGCCCTCTTTTTGCTGACACTTTCAAACTTGGGCCTCTTCTTTCTCACACTAGATGGGAGGTATAACTACTGCTGCCTTGGGGGGAAAAATGTATATAGAGTATAATATGTAATGCTTGTATTCTTTAATTATGGCATACAGATTTATTTGAACCAACTTGATAAACTTTTAAGATTAATAGTTTTTCATGAACAAGTTTAAGATGTTTTATAATGAATTGCAAATTCTTCCCTTTTATTTTTAACCAGTAATTTCTGTGTCTTTCAAAGAAAACCTATTCACTTTTTGTTTTCATTCATCTTTATGCATATTGATGGGGTCAAGGAATAGTGATCCCACATGTGCAAGTGTCATCTTGCGAAGTACTCTACTGGAAGCAAACTACAGTTAGGAGTGGCCTTGATATTTTCATCATCTTTTTTCTTTAATTCTCGTGGTTTGTTAAAAGCCCATTCAGCAGTTATGTTTGCTACAAATGACAGCATATGTATATTCACTAATGCCCAAGATCTTTGTATCATTATCTGTGTAACAGAAAAGGAGGAGGCCAAAAAGCTTTCACTTGTCCTCATTCTGCCCCTTTTTTTAATCTGAGAGAAACAAGCTTATTCTGAAAAAATGTGTCATCGGGTCATTTTTTTTTTAATATTAAATCCTGAGAATATGGTGGGGGGAAGGCACTTAGTTTTATCCTTATCACCATCTTTAGGGACAGACTTTAGAGATGGATCTTCATCTACTGCTTCCTTTTGCTGTGGCTAAAGTGTATCCTCTTGGACTTTGACATTTGGGATTTGGAATTAAAGATTTCTCACATCTGTCGTTTAAGACAGTGACCATGGGTTTAGCCAGAAATAAATAAAAAATAGGCTCTGTTTTAGGGGGATGTACTTTAGAGGTGGTGATATTCAGCAGACTGATTCAGGACAGAAACAGTATAGTCTAGGGATGGCCCCATGAGAAAATAGCATTGAATGGATTTTGTTGGATAGGTAGGATTTGGAAACAGGAGTAGAATGACATGAAAAGAAGCATTGGCAGTAAAAGAATTTGCACAAATGAGTGACAAGAGGGAGTGATCTGGTTTGACTTTTAATATTGGGCAAGTATGTGAAATTATAGATAGAAGATTAATAGGTTTAACTTTAGGTGGTAGTTTGGGGCCAGATCATAGGTAACTCAAACCTTATATTTTTAGATAGTAAGAAACTGAAAGGGTTTGAGACATGAGATTGTTGAGAAACATTGACAGTTGTGTTTGGGGCTATTTTTCTGACCCCTGAGTATAATTTGGGTACATAACTGTCACCATTAATAGATTATTCAAACTTGGGCCTCTTCTTTCTCACACTGGAAAAAGAAAAACGATGATGAAAATATCAAGGCCACTCCTAATTTACAAATAAGTACTGTATTAATAATGACTTGAACAAGGTCAACAATAGCACAATGCCTGTAATCGCAGTGGCTTGGGGGACTTAGGCAGGAGGATCACGAGTTCGAAGCCAGCCTCAGTAACAGCAAGGCACTAAGCAACTCAATGAGACCCTATCTCTAAATAAAATACAAAATAGGGCTGGGGAAGTGGCTCAGTGGTCTAGTGCCCCTGAGTTCAATCCCCAGTACCCCCCTACCACCACCACCACCCGCAAAAAAAAAAAAAAAAGTTAATGGAAGGGTAGAAAGAAGCCAAGGTAAAATAAAGTGGCCAAATGTTTTGATGATCAGAGATGATCTGATTTTATGTCTGTCTTTGTAGCATAGTTGTTATTAGTGCCCTTTTTAGCTTTGGAAATGTTTCCTGGTTGGGAAAGTAAGTCCTGTGGCAACCCTAAAGATAGTGTTTTCTTTAGCAGTGCTGGGGATCTGTATTTCTTTTAATGAACATATCTGAGTTTTGGAATATTCATTGAAGTAATACATTCTAAAGAAAACATACTATATTTGATTTTTGTCTCACATTTTTATTTATTTCCATTTCAAGGCAGCCACTGGCCATTTGAGAATGTCTTATGTAGCCACATGCCATCCCTGAGGAAGTAGGCTTTAGAATGTCAGAACCTTAGGATTCCCAGGTCCCAGGTTTTTGTTTGTTTCCTCCTGATTGAAGTAGGTCACTATAGTCACATGGTATCTGATTTAAGGCTTGTGTGTAGATCTAGCTATATTGTTTGTGGAAAGTCTAAATGCTTACTGTTCTTGTGTTCTTCCACACACAGGCAGAAGGAGAAGACAGCCTGAAGAAGATGCAGCTGATGGAGCTTGCAATTCTGAATGGCACCTACAGAGATGCCAACATTAAATCACGTAAGGATGAGACTGAGGCCTAGGGTTGTAGCTGTCTCTGTTGTTTTGTCTACAAACTTCTTTTCACAGCATAACACATGAGCAATTAAACTGAAGAATTGAAGTAATTGTGTCATTGAACAGGGGAGCAACAGTACTTTTTTTTCATGAATTACTATCCTCTCTTGATTTTATTGTATGCCAGCATATCGAAGCTTTAGGTTTGTAAATACTTCATTTTTCTGATGACATTTTGATGTCCAAATTCAAGAAATTTCCTCTTCTGTACAGCTTCAAGGCCTCCAGTTTATTTTGTTGTATTTATGCACAATACAAGACTTTGAAAGCTTTTTTAGAAGTTTAAGTGTTACTGGATGAATGATCCTTCTGTTGAGTTCTTTCCTGTCCCTTTGCTTGCATGTTCCCCCTCCGGTGTTTTTCCCTGTTGAGTTCACACGTGAGTTCACAGAGATCAGTGGGTGGTGATAACTATTTCCAGTCTTCTATTTTTCTTCTTAGAAATCTGTGCATGATTTTAAAAGCTATGAGGATTTCTTTTTTAAATTTAAAATGAAATTTATATTTTGAGATAATCTAATGGTCACACATCATATAAGCATAATATTATTTTTCATTTACTAATGATTTTAAGAAATAAATTTTAAAGTCCTTGCCAACTTTCTAACATCTGGGCGACTCATTGAGTTTAGAAGTGTAATTATTTTACAAGTGGTAATTTGTAATTGACTTTAATTTATGCATGAGAATGTGAGCATATCCTTAATGTCATGAAGTTAGGATCTTTTTATATTTTTTTTTTTAAGAAGTTAACTACCAGTGCTTCAGGATATACATATAATCATCTAGTGCTTATTGGTCTGACTTAATACAATGAAAATAGATATTCTTTCTTTTAATTTGAAACTGAAGTTACACTTACAAAATATACCAAAACTGTTTCTGTGGACTCCAAATTACAAATATTTTTGTAACATCTTTTAATGCAAATGTTTTCTTGTGCTTCTGCATGCACCTTTAGTTTCAAGAAATCTTAAAAAGCAGATATATCAAATATATAAACTAAATATAACATTTTATTTCATTCATTTTTTACAGTGGCTTTTAATTTTTGCACATTTGTTCTTAATCACATTGGGAAAGGGAAAGCTGATTGTGTTTGATTGGTGTGCTTTGGCATTTTGTGTGATCAGTGCATGTACTAATGATTTCCTTTTATTTTTCTTCTTTCCTGCTTTTTTCTTTCTTTTTCCTACTCCTCTCTCATTTTCCCATATTTTATACTGCTGTCCCTGTACTTCTTCCTGAATTTCTTTGCTTACTGTAGCAGCCCTTGCCTTTTCTCTTGCAGCAACAGCCCAGGCTGCTCCAAGGATCATAACTGGGCCTGCGCCTGTCCTCCCACCAGCTGCCCTGCGTACTCCTACGCCAGCTGGCCCTACCATAATGCCTTTGATCAGACAAATACAGACCGCTGTCATGCCAAACGGAACTCCTCACCCAACTGCTGCAATAGTCCCTCCAGGGCCCGAGGCTGGGTTGATCTACACACCCTATGAATACCCTTACACGTTGGCACCAGCTACATCAATCCTTGAGTACCCTATTGAACCCAGTGGTGTTTTAGGTAAGTTCTTCTCCCTGGTGGTCAGTGATATTCTTCATACATTTTGTTGCCCCAGACTTAGAAATGATTTTAACAGTTTTAGAGAAGCGTTTCTGCCCCTTTTAAGGGTTCCCCTGTTAAATAACTGCACCCAGTTTGTTCAGATTCACTTGATAACTCAAATTCATTTGTTTGGGTAAATTTGCAGTGTACATCTTAAACAAAAAATAACTTTCACATCTGACATTACTAGAATTAAGTTCTTGAGTTTTATTTAGGTTTCACCCAATTGTCTTAATGCCTTTATGAGCTCCTCCTTCTGGAGTTAGATTTCTTTTGACTCATGGGTTTCTTTAATGGCTAGTTAACTTCTAAACTTACCCATGAAAGTATTTTGAGATTTTTATGAAATTTATATTATTGGGTGCTAAGTATTTGTGATCACTTTAAATGGGACCATATTATTGGTTGCAATCTTAACTGAACTTTGAATTTTTTGTCTTTTGAAGTCCTAAGATGAAACATGAGACAGCTTTAAGTACAGTTTGGAATAAATGAGTAAAATATGCAGTTACTGAATTCAGATTCACACTGGAGGCAAAAATTAAGGTCATACTGTAAACACTTGGTTTTTACATGAACATGAACAAAAAGTGGTGTGCTCGAAAAAGACATTACTGATGCCTTTTTTTTATAGAGTGGATTGAAATGCCAGTCATGCCTGATATTTCAGCCCATTGACTTGCTGGATGAAGGACTAGAACACAGCAGCTGTTCTAGCACGACCAGTCAGTGTGGGACAGCTGTTTCCACGCAGCCCTTTTGTTTCACCAGACAGAATCTGAACACTTTCTTTCCTGAATTGTATATGACTTGGTGCTGCATGCATGCTGTTGACTTTTAGGACTTTGTTCTTTTAAAGTTTATTTTTCCCAAGCATTAATATTGATTTATAAAAATTTGAAAATCTTTAATGAACCCGGATATTAAGATTTAAGCTCGAAAATTCATTGTTCAATTAAAGAAAGCCACAATGCTCTGTATGTTATCTGTGTGTGTGCATGCACTCAGGTGCCTTTTGTTTTATGAACAAATACATTTTATTGTACATGTTTTCTGTCTAAATCATTGTATAAAGTAATTACAGGTCAGAATTATACCACAGAATATTGATGAGAGGCTTGTTTCTGTTGCACATTTCTTGAACATTTTTAAAATAACATGTAACCTATAACCTTATTTAAGTTTTCCTTTCTATTAATACTCTCTCCTGTGGCCCCATGCATGCTCCTTCCCCCTAGAAATCCTCTCTGCTGCACCCACAGCATCTGTTCCCGAGGAGTTAGGATCCTTAATTTTCTGTAGGGCTGAGGCTCTTAGCCACCAGCTACTGTTCCAGGACTTTTGAGTCCAAGATCTCCCTAGTTTTGCCATGTAGTATTACACTTGTATACAATTAGTTTATCCAAGATGAAAAAGGGGGTGATGGACCAGTTTACTGCTTAGAAACAGCAAGAGGCACTGCTGTAAACTTTATTTCTTGTTATAAACTAACATGCTTTTGTTTCCATTGGGAAATTTTTCATTGTTAAGACCCACTTATTAGACTGGCAAAATTAAGAGCAAAATACAGAGATACCTATTTGGCATTCATAAGGTGATTAATAATATGCACCAAATTGGGAGGGGGCTATCATAATCAGTGTTATTTATTGCTTTGCTACCTAAGCAGTAAAACATGATATTGACCCCTTGGAGAATAGAGGGGATTATTATAAATTACCAAGTTACAATAAATTTGCACACAGATAACATGCATGCTATATATCAAATCTCACATTAAACGATTTTAAAATAAGCAGTGCCTTTCAAAACAGATGCAGACATGTGTGTTGGTGGTAGTGAGGAGATTGGTATTAGCATCAAATCTTCATTGATGACTAATTTTTAATTCCCTTCCTTTTATCTTTAGGTATGGCTTTCCCAGCGAAAGGCTAAGAATTCAAGATCGGTCTTAACTGAACCCTCATCAGATCTGAATTTAACAAATGCTTAGTCTCAGCAGCCTCCGGGGAAAAAGCTTAGCCTAGCAGTCAGTGGCTTACTTGCACTTTTTGCACATAGATATAAAGTAAAACCATGTTATTAATTTGGTTTAGTCTGTAATATGACAAAGTAACGGTAATTTATAAAGGAGTGTATAGTAGTGTACTGACTGCTAAGTGTACTATACTGTTTGCTTTACTAATCACCTAATTCATTGCAGTTCATACTTATTGACTCAAAGTTTTAAACCACAATCTGTAGGCTTTAAGAATTGCTTTTAAACCTTTTTAAATAATAAACTCTGGAAGTGGTCTTAAGGTTAGCAAATAATTGTCAGTATTAAACATGGCATTATTTAAGTAGTCCTGCTGCAAGAAAGGCACTTCAGTGAATATGTGACTAGTAAAGCTCAAATATGTTTGGATCTAATAGAGTCACGAAATACTGTAACTTGGGGATTGTAAATGAATGGATAAAATAGGTTAAGGCCAACATGTTTGAAATGAATGCAATATTAATAGATGCATATATATGTGACATATAATGGTTAATTTTAAAACTACTGTGCCTTAACGTGTTTCTTAAAACAAACTTTTGTAGTAAATGAACATTTGAAAGAAATCCATTTTGATAAACCTGCTGTTAATGTTTTTTTCCCCTTCTGTATGTTTTCTAACTTTGTCTTGGTAATTGCAATTTAACTAGGTGCGGTGGCTACTAAAGTTCGAAGGCACGATATGCGTGTCCATCCTTACCAAAGGATTGTGACCGCAGACCGAGGTTAGTTTAGTTCTGCAGTTCTTGTTTATAAGAAATGCGTTGGATGTCCATAAAATTTGCAACACCACACCTGATAGAAAAATGTAACTGCTTACCTGTACACTGTTTCTTTTCCTTTTCTAAATTCTTTTATAATAATTGACAAATTTAAGGGTTGGGTTTTTTGTTTTCTTTTCTTTTTTTTCCTTTTTTGCTCCCTTTTTATTTTAACTTATTAAATCTTCTATTCCTATTACAATGATTTATTTCTACTAAAACATAAATTAGTCGATTTGGGGAACTATTAAATTTTTATTTTGCCTTAACTAGTTTTCATTAATAACTTTTGCTAAAATTTACCTTTTAATCATTCTGAAATTTTGGGTTGGTATTGCAAAATGAATTGAATGGATGGTGCTTTAATGAGAGAAGTAAAGGAATATATGCCTCCTGTGTACTTTTGGAGAAAACTGAAGATTTAGTTTCCATTTCTCTTTGTAATAAAACACTTGAGCCACTGTATAAACATGAGGGTATACATGTCAAGTACTTAGCTGAAATCAACAAAGTCAGGACTGTGAAGATAACTTTCATGTAGTTGGATTTTTTTTTTTTAATAAATTAGAAAATCAGCTCCCTCTTATTCTTACATTTTCTTGCCAAAATGGATCCTTTGATTTTTGTCATTTGCTGCTAAAATATTATTTGAAGGTAGATGATCTCCTCAAGTTCTGTGGTGTGTGAGATCCAGCTTTTGGATATCCTTTTGGACTGACCTGTGACTGGAAAATAACTCTTCATTTTTCTCCTTTGAACATTTGTAATTTGTGTCCTATATTTGCCCTTGGACCCTTTTATAAATTATTTATGCTTATGGAGAAGTAATATTTTCGGTTTATTGACATTGAATGGTTTTTGATTTTTCATCAAAAGATAGGGAAACCCAAGCATGGTTGAAAAGCGTCTTCAAAACTCTTCTGTTAGAACACATTTATTACTAATTAAATGGGTTAAAGACTCTTAATATTATTAGGGGAAACTGATGAATTTATACTCCATTTGTACATCCTCTATCAATTTGATCAGACAAATATAGACCGCTATCATACCAAACAGAACTTGTCACCCAACTGCTGCAATAGTACCTCCAGGGCCCGAGGCTGGGTTGATCTACCTAGTGCTTCATGGTTACCTAGAGTACTAATGATAAATACTGGACACAGTTGTTGTCCACATTAGAAATAAAAGATTTTTCCAGTGACCTTGATGACATTTATTTAGCATCACAATAATGAGAGATCCTTGTAAACTTTTAATGAATATAATTTGTAGTGATTTTTCAATGAACTCTGAGTAGTAGACTCCAAGTTCAGTGATTATCTATGAAAATAGTGCTCCTTTTTAAAGAAGTATTTTCATTTAAGATTTTTCTATCCCTGTATGCCCTTCTTTCAGAGACTTGTCTTAATTTTAACACAGTAATTATTGGTTTATTTATTTCTCCGATGCCTTCAGATAGTTGAAAATATTAGAGGAAGATTTTATTAAGTATTTGGAAAACAACAACACATTCCATGCATGGCTCTTTTGTAGTGATATGTATTTTGATTAATTTTGCTACTTTCAAAATGCAATGTCAGCAAACCGAAATGCTTTTTTTTTTTTCTTTTTTCTTTTAATAGTAACAATATTCATTAATTCTTACTATCACTATGTGCACTCTTTGGGTCTAAGGGAGATGTCTGAAGCCTTCACTTAAATTATTTTATTATACTACTGTTTTCTCTATTTTTGAGGTTTTTTTTTTATTTTTAAAAGTATTTTGAAGAGAACTTATTATAAGCATTTTGGATGAAAGAAAACTCAGCCCTTGGACATATAACCATGTAATTCTATATGATCATTTAGAGTACTATGTGATAGACAAATATCTAGTTCTTTACTAAAAATAAACCCACCTCTACAAATATTTCAAAACTAAATTTAAAGCCTTTAAGACCAAGTGACTTTTTAGTTGTAATGAAATATATAAATGGTTTTGCACAGTTGACATACCTGTGTGTACTGTATGAGACCAGGACTTGGCAGAGGATATATTTTAGGTGTACTGGTATATTATAAATGGTAGTTTGCTTTGTTTTTCTACTCCACAGCCCCCACAATCAGAAATTTTTCTGAATAATGATTTTACAAAAACCATTACTTACATAATTTGGATAAGCTTAAACCATTTTAATCAGAATTTTAAGTAATATCTAAAATGCTTTAAAATTCATATTTTGGAATACCTGTGAAGAAGTAGTGTGACTACATCATATTAAATATTTATTTTCTCCTTTGATTTTTGGAAGAGCAGTTCTAAAAATGTTACATAAAATTCTACTTTTTAAGACATTCAGGGAAGATTTGGTCACAATGAGGATACCATATTTTTGTAGTATTTATAAACTATCCTAAATGATAGACTATAGTAGAAACATTTTCCTCATATGAAGGTAAATCAGTCCATCATAGAGATCATTTAAACTCTGTGAACTTTATGCCTGCTGGGTTTCAATTTATGAAGTGGCACAGAATCTTAACTTTGCACTGAGTATCTTTTCATTCACATCTCCTCTGCCTTAGTCACAATGGCAACAGTACAGAAAATTCTATCAAACCTCAGAATATAGTAGAAATAATTAAGCTGTTGAATATGAGTCTTAAAAATCATACTACTGTTAAGTGGACCAAGTTTGGTGAAGCAGAATGTGACAGAGGTTGGTTAAGGAAGGAACAACTCAAGGACATTGGGAATGATAACTTTTCCACTTGAGAACTACTTTATGTTTTACTGTAATTTAAAAAAAAAAAAACAACAAAAACTTTTTTTTGTTCTTTTTGTTATTTTGCAAAAGAAAATAGTATTTACAGGTGGCTTCTTTTAAAATATAAAAATATAAAGCAGGAATGTATATGAAATGTCAGATTTTATTGTATTTGCAGAGTATTAGCTTTGAAATTGAATAAAGAAAGCTGTTTGTAGATTTAAAATGCCTTATTGGTATCAATTAGAAATTTCTTCTATTTTTTGATGTACTTAGAGCTCTTTGAGGTATAGAATTTTAAATGGCAGGATTTTACAGTGTTTACATGCAAGTGCATTTTATAAGTGTTCTATATGTGTAAAATAGTATTTTCAACTGGAAATTGTTGGCCAGTGCAGAAGGCCTGGCCTTTTTCTAGTTCCCATGATGTTGCCTACACTGCTAGACTACAGTATTGCTTTGTATCATGAGGCCAAGAAACTCCATGTTGTTTGTAAATAGAATAATTGAAAAAGCAATAAACATTTATTGAACAAAAGAAACCTTGTTTGGCCCAGAGTTTATGTTGAACCAAATTGCTCATAGAAATTTAAATTTCTTTAGATTCATTTCTGTTAATCATCAGTTATTAATAATCACATCCATCATTAATAGTTGCTTTAATGCTTGCATCTGAGAGAGTACTAATGCTTAATAGCAGTCAGATACTGATAACTGCACTGACTGTTCAAAATTCTGTATATCAAACCTATTCATCATTGTTTTCCAATTTCTTTCATTGACTGCTACTAACTATTAGTTGTTAGTTGTATTTTATTTCTATTTTTTCTGTTAACCAATTTTTTTTTCTTTTGTGGGAGTGGGCTCCTCTTCATTTGTTCAAATCATGATATGAATTGTCATGATTTTTATTGTATTCTGTAGATGGTGTCAATCAGTTTGTCAGAATTAAACATGCTTTTTTTTTTTTATTAGTTGTGATTAGTTTTTCATGTTGTCATTAAGCCGTCACTAGCTGAAACTAATCTCTTCTCTATCTTTTCTTTTCTTTTTTTTGTTTTGTTTTTTGTTTCTAACCACCCAGCCGCCACCGGCAACTAACCTATGACCTTCTGACCTCTGAACTCTTCACCCAATGATGACCTGACCATGCCTGCCTGCTGATCAGTTAACTGGTAATCGCCTTTGCTTGCCTGTCGTCAGTGCAGCGAGCTGAGGCACTTGTCCGTTCGTCTTACCATCTAACCAAACAAAAGACAAAGAAATTGTTGTCCTCCAACTCAGCTTTTTTCCCCCCGTTTGGGTGAAAGTGGTTCTAGAACCTGCACTGAATAGTAGTAAAGCAATAAGGCCCAATTCATCCCACAGCACTGATCATCTTTCAATGTCCCACCCCAAGCGAACGGTAAGAAGGCCTCCTTAAGAAGGGAGACAGATGGCCCTTAACTACTCAGTGACAGAGGCAGTTACTGTGAGAGACTTCTAGGAACCTTTTCTTCTCATAGCGAAGTCAAGCTCTCTCTGAATGTACTGTGTGATGATGCATCATGCATGAACCTTTGGTCAGGGAAGTCATTGGTGAAGTGATTCAAAAAGTATTCAAAATTTGATATACTGTTCAGTCACTACAGTGCCCTCAAAGGGCAGAAGTTGCAGCCTTTTTTATATTGCCTGCCAAATTTGAAGTATTAGAAGAGTGTGCCATGAGAGAAAAACTTAACAAGGAGTTTTGAAAAGTAATGCAAAGAACAAAACTGCAACACTATTTTTTAAAAGATGGATATCTGAGTTAAAATTACAGAACCTTTATTTTACACCTCCTTAAAAAATTTTTTGAGAACAAGGTACATGCATTATGTGTCACATTACTGGGCAAACTGTTCAAGTATTTTTTTTAAACCTCCCTGTATAGAAAAAATCATTAAGGATGTAAAAGCCATGCTTGCCTATTTGCTGTATACATGTAATGAAATTGTAGATAAAGTGTAGTGCATTGAAACAAATGAACAAAAAGTAGATACTTTTACTATACAAGGGTGCTGGTGCAGAAAAAATATATATATTTTTGGAAATGTAGCATTTTATACTTTCAAGTGTTATAAAAAAAGAAAAAGAACAAAGAAACCCTTTATTTCATTAAATGATTTTTTCTGGTGGTTGTCAAGAAACAAAAGACCAAAAGAGCCTTTTTGTCTTTCTTTTTTATTTTTTAAGTATTGGAATAAGTCTAAAGAAAAGAAAGTGCCTTATTTTCCTTCATGGTCATTTAGTCAAGTGTCTTGTAAGATCAGCTCCTCCCTCAAAATAAAAGTAAATGCATGTTACTCAGTCGCCCAGTATGTGAAAGAAGATGAGAGGGGGACAAATGAGTTGAGGGTTTGTATTGTATAATTTGTGCCACGTTACCTTGATGCAAATTTGCCAAATCTGATACTGTGAAAAAAATTTGAATAACTTTTCTAATATCTGACCTAGTAAGTTTTTAAAAACATATCATAATTGAGTATTTTTGGTTGTTACAAACTTCAATGTTAACCTAAAGAATTCTGAAAAATTATGTGAGATCTGAACACCAGTTTACAGGCAAAATTAGAGCTTTATTGTATTTGGAGATGAGAGATGCATTGGATTTTTTTCGTAATGGAGATAATAGTCTACTTAGCAAACTTTTTCACAAAAATGAAATTTTTTTTGTGACTTTCATTCTGGAAAAAATAGTGTTTTTAAATGACCCAAATTTAATGAGACTTGTTTATAGCATACAGATAACTGGCATAGTCAAAGTCCATCTTCTGCTGGCTTTAGCAATCTCCCTCCTTCTTCCCACATATGTCCTTTTTGTCACCTTTTTTAACTTCAAAAGAATGTGAAAAAGTAGCATCATTGTGCATATGAATACTGAATTACATTTCAGTTTAAGCTTCCAATTTCTCACGAAGTGCAGTTTTATAGTTGAAACAATTTGCATATAAAGGCTACATGTAAACACTTGAGGAAATCATTAACTGCTCAGTACCAGACGTGGCAAATCTCAAGTGACAGTGGACTCCCAGCTCATCAGCTCGTTCCCTCTTCCATACCTTCATGGCTTCATAGTCAAGGTCAGCAGGAAACTCAGTTGGCACCTTCATGGTGACCTCTCCATCAGCTGTCTATCTCACTTGGAACCGTTTTCAGTTTATTTACTATGCAATAGACAGTTGTTGTTTTATATTCAGCTAGTTTTGGTTTAATGTGCCACTGCTCTTTCTGTTACACATGCCATTGTTTTGATTTATTTACAATATATGCCTTGCCATTTTGATTTTAATTTTGTTTGGTTGGTTGAATAAATTGCGACACTCAAACACTTGAGGTGATAGTTAAAAATGATACCAGTATTTGATCCAGCTTCATCTCAACTATGTTAAACCTGGACATTTTAGATGTTTATCAAAGGTCTTTTATGGGGAAGAAAGTAAACGTATGAAATAATAAAAGTGTGACATGAGTAATGTCGGCTCTGAACAAACTTTTAATAACTTAGTTGACAAAATTTTGGATCAACTTAAAAGAAGCATGACTTTTGAAATCTGAATGCCTTGGTTCTCAGTATTATCATTCTTTTTGAATTTATTTCTTATTAAAGTATGTAGTTTTTAAGACTTTTTTCTGACAGTATTATGTAATTTTTAGTGTGGGTAGATGGGAGTGTCGCTGGTATATTAATGTACAGCTGACATGTATTTTTGTCTATTCTTTATTATCTTAGTAGTTTTCATGCTCTATATGTACCATTACCAACCTATTGCCTATGAGAAACATGTAAGATAATGTATTTACAGCCATTGTTACAAGTTTATAATGTATTTTTCTATCTTGTTTTATATGTATGTTATATAACATTCAAAAAGAATTTTTTTCTTGATTGAGAAAAGGATACAAAATGCAAAATCCACAATTTTGATAACTGAAAATTGCCAATTGTTTTGCAGTACTTTATTATATTGGGTGTCTTGTCTTTCTTGGGCTTTTAGTTAGCTGATGAATGAATACATTAATTAGACACTTTTGGGTTTTAGTTGGGATTTTACATAGCTTGCATTTTAATTCTTTGGTTCTTTGCTGTTTCTATTAACCCATAGCATTATTTTAATAAATGTTATAATACCAACCTACTAACTCTGGACTATGTCTGTTTATTAACCTTTACATGTTTAATTAAAATAAACAAATAAAGACAAAAGAATGTAAAGTCTTGAGTTCCTGGACTAACCCTGAAGACCGTGACCACAGATAACATAGCGTGACTTGTTTTGTGTTGTTTGTCAGCTGACAGTTTCGCACACTACTGTTCAAATGGCTTTGGTTATTCTGGCCTTCTACTTCGGGTGTAGGTGCCAGTGGAGATGAGAACAAAGTAGCATTCGTTCGAGGCATTCTTCTCCTGGTCATGCCACTTGCCTTTCAGCATCTGCATTACTAATTCCACACTTCTTATTTTTTCCTTCTCCAAAATAATCACTGTCTGCTCACAGCATACAGAGTAGAGATTCAGTGTGATGACATGCCCTGACAATACAGTTTCATTCATTGAACATTCATTTTAATTTCTATGAGTAGGTGATTTTATGGTCACATCATAAAGCAGAGAATTTTTGTATTAAGATGTTTATTTTAACATGGTATTTTTCCTTTGTAAAGCATTGAATTTGTTTAGCCAGCTGTTTCTTTTAGAGGAATTGACGTAGGTAAGGCTAGAGGCAAATTGGGTCTGTTTTTCCTAATAGTGCAGAGTAAGTGATGAGTAACCAGGATGATGCAGCCCCACCTCTTCCTCACCCAGCCTTCAGTGAATGATGGAGCTTTTCTCAGGTGTTTTTTCTGACCCACTTCCAAAACACAGCCAAGATTGATGCAAGAAACTTAAGGGGGAAGAACACTGAGATTTGAAAGGTTAGGTGTGATTAATTTCTTGCATGCAAATCAATCAGAGAAGATTTCTTAAATATCCTGCTTTTCGTGGCCTGTGTAAGTGGACCTCTAAATCTTGACTTCTTGAGGTGTGTTTATGTCACAGATTGGTAATAGCCTTTTCTGTGAAACAATTCTCCTGCGTAAGAAAAAAAAAATTCTCAGGATGAATTTTGCATTTGTAAATAGTGGTTTATTTTTGTAAATTATATTTTATTTATTTAAGAGTTCTAAAATTTAGGGCTGAAATGAGTTACATGTCATAGTCATAATTATATCAATGTGCTTCTAACCAGATTATCAAGATATTCCTTGTTTCGTATATGTTTATGCATATATGAAATTATCAGAATAGTGATAATTTAATCACCAATGAAAAGGTCGTTTGGGTTATGTCATTTCTCTGATGGAAAGAGTAGGCAATGTATCATTGTTAGGTAGGCAGATCTTTAATATGCTACTTATCTGTTGAAGTTCACATTGCCATAACAAGTTTTCATGTATTATTCTGTGAAAATTTGAAGATGCCTGTCAAGCTGCTAATACACCAGTTGTGGTACCATGTCACTTAAAGTGATGAAGAATTTCTATGCAACTTGCTATTCTCTGAAGCCTATGAATGCAGTCTCATCTCATTTTCAGTTAAGGGTACTTTATGTATAATTATGTCATATTGTCACCTTTTATGTTGAAAATGTTGTAAAAGATGGTTTTAAAGGGTGAAAATAATATTGCAAATCCCATTTTTATACAGGTCGCAATAATATTAAACATGAAACTATCAAGTTGCTGGAGTGGTAAAATTCTGGAGTTTATTGCTTGATATTGTTATTTGATAAAATGCTTGATAGTTGAGTTTTCAGTCAAAAAAGTTGGTGAAATTAACATACTTAAACATTCTTTTCCTTTAGGTATAAAATGTCAGGAAGAACATATGAAAGTACATGTTTGCATACAACCCTAGTCAATAGTTTTTGTGTTAGGATACATATGAGCAGTTACTGAAGCATGTTGTCCATAAAACAGAAGATTTACGCATGATATACAAGAATAATATTTGGTAAAGTTGATCAGTGTAAGTTGTCATTTTCTAGTGCAACAAAAGCAGATGATCGATTAAACCAATGGCTGTTTGTTGCCAATTTCTGCCAGTGAAGTCTAACACTTTGATATCCTACATGTGACAGTTGGAGGGGGGCATTCCTTGCTTGTTTGGCAGGGGATGCCTGTCTTCGTTAACTTATTTATGGACTCCTATTTTAGAAATATTCATGGCACACATTTTTTCTATGGTGTCTTCACTATAAAATTATGTAAACTGAAGTGCCTTTGTTTTGAAGAGACTTAAAATTATATATATAACTAGTACTCAATGGTGACTCTAACACAGTGCCTCCTCCTGTGTTGTTCCTGCACTTACTGCTGTGGGTGGAGAGGGGGAGGAGGAACGACTTTGGTAAGTAGAAGGTGGTGGTGGGTGGAGCAGAGAGCAATACTTGTTGATTTGACATCACTTGAAATTTTGCTGTCCCTTCTTAGCAAAAGATATTACATTGTGGAACGATCTCGGTTCCCAGTGTATAAAAATCAGTTAACATCTCTTTTAAGGTGTTACTGTTGAGAAGCTTTGGTCCTCAGATTTATCTTGTGGTTTATATTATAATGGTATGTATAAAACATTTAAAACTTGTGGAAATTATAGTTTCTATATATTATATACAGACATTGGAAATGGGTGTTCCCAAAGCACATGTGACTCGAACAACAAAACAGGTACATGAAGTGCAGTAAGCCACCTGGAAAGACTGCATGTGCTTTATCTTAAGCCACTACAGCTGAAAATGCTGCCCTCACACACATTTAAATACCAGAATAAAGAATGCAAATTTAAATTTTAATGCTTTTAACACTACTTAAAAGAAGCTTACATTCTTCAATTTTAATATGTAACTATAAGATGATCATATAACTTGCTCTAATTTTAGTAATAAGAAAAGGAAATAAGTGAATAGACTATTACAGTATTCCTCTGTTGGACTCCTTATCCAAAATAGTTTGCATTTCTAGTTATCATTAAGAAATAATGGTGCAATTTTTATGTAATTTTTAAATGTAAGAAAGCAGTCCTTAACCAATTTTTTTTTAACTTTTTTTTTTTTTTTTAGAGAGAGAATTTTTTAATATTTATTTTTTTTAGTTCTTGGCAGACACAACATCTTTGTATGTGGTGCTGAGGATCGAACCTGGGCCGCACGCATGCCAGGCTAGCGCGCTACCACTTGAGCCACATCCCCAGCCCCCTTAACCAGTTTTTATCTCACCCACTATGTGTAAAAAGTCTGTTATCTTATAAATAATACTGTTATAAAGTAAAAGAGTTGGTGAAATATTGTTTCCAATACTTCCTAAGATCTCTTCTTGATATCCAGTTTTGTAACTCCTTGCACTTTCCAGTCTATCTTGTTTATATAATTTCCAAGTTCTTTCATTTCCTTTCCACCCATTCTGTGGACTCTAGATTCTCCTTGACAGTGTCCTTTTCACCTGCCTCTCAAAGTAGCTGACAGGTCGGCAGCCATAGGACCAGGTAGACTACTAGCCCAGAGACAGGTCTTGGTTTGCCTATACATATGTTGGTTTTGGTTAGAGTTTTTTGTTATTTATTTATTTATTTATTGCCCTCCCCCCAAAAAAAATTACTTGCCAACATTAAAAATCTAAAGGGTAAAAAACTTGATCTTCATGAAGTCTGCTCAGTTCAAAGATCAGAGTATCTAGAAAGCTCAAGCACATATTTTCAGAGGAGCATCAACTAAAACTGAAAAACTGTTCCTATTACTGCTTCCCCATCCTGTCTTGCTTTTGTTCTCTCCTCTCCTGGCTCCTGTATGGCTTGTCTGTCCTAATCAGAGTGATGATGTGACTCTTCAGACACCAAATTGCCTCCTCAAGGGGGATCATGTAGAATAGATTTTAATGATTTTCCTCCTGAAAAGTGAGATGAATATGGTTTCTGAATTAATCAAACATCAGTCACTGTGATTCATACGTGCTGTGTTTTGGTGGAGTGAGATACCTATTGAAGTGAAGGCAGTAGATATTTAAATGTTCTTCCTATTGTGATTTTGTTTAATTATTATCTGCTGCTGTTTTCATAGCAACTCTTGGTGATTTTAGAAAGTAGTACTAATTGAACTTAAGAATTACATGTCTAACAGAAAACGTTAGTGATTCATAAAGCCTGGAGTCAAATTTTTCTGGAAATGTGTATTAAAGTTAGATTATGCTAATTAAGTGCTGCTTTATGAAATATGTGCACCTTCATAAAAGTATCACCTGTTTGTGCTGCGGTTCCAGTTTTTTAGAACATCTCTTTGAATTAAAATATACTGTTATCCCTGTTTTCTTAATTTATGTTCTATATATATTGGCTGCTTAACTGGATTTTAGTGAACGTTATGGGGAAAATGAATATGAATAAAAGAAGAAAACAATTGGCAAATAAGTATTTTCTTGCAGGAAATTTGAGTTATTAAAATGTCAGTATTAAAAATTTCAAGATGACTTATCTAACTTAGAACTTGTGTCAGGGTTGGGAGTAAGTAAACATGCCTTGGCTGTCCTGGAAACCTAAGTTTTAAAAGCTGCTCTTACCTGGTATTTTAACTGATGTGTTCTACAAAATTAGACCAGCAGTACAAAAGGAGAGTTGACTTAACAGTCTACATTGATAAATGAAAATTTTCTTCATTGTTTTCTCACTGATGTAAAAGGACATTTAAAAATTGTTCAAAAGTTTAAACCTACTAGGTTTCCAGATGGTAGAAGAGTGGAACACTTGAAGTGGGTGAGTGGAGTGCAGTGGGAGAACATCTGAAACAGGGTTTAAATTGGCCACAGGGAAGAAGCAGAATTTGACACAATCTAGAAGTGGTCTGTCCTCTAATAAGATTTTGTTCAGTACCTCCCATTTCTCTTTGGGTTTATAATGAAAGCAACTGGCATGGAGAGGAACAAAAGGGAAAATGTAATAGATGTTTTATGGTGTGTCTTCCTAAAGGGCATTGCCTTTTCCTTGAATTGTGGGCAAGTCTTTGTAACAGAGATTTGTCACAAATGACATGCACTACTCCACCGATACGGTGTATGCCTTTAAGCAAGTAAATGCCAAGTGGCTTGTAAATGCCCTGATTCCGACCTGCTCCTTG